ATGAATACTCAAACTCTCCAACATATTCTCTTCACACAAATAAGAACAGTGAATTTACATCAATAAATGTTCATGGGTTAAAGTCTGCACGGACACTTCCTCATCTGCCGTTGGCATGCAAGGTGTTAATGACCTGCAACATGGTGGAGTGCCCTGACCCCTAACTTCCCCAGGGCTGGGACTGTCTAGTGACAGGCACTGAATAGCAATGCAGGCTGAAGACCTCCATGTTTAGAGTTTAACCTCAAAAGTAACTTGTTTTTTAAAAAATGTGAATTACTGTAAAATAATCTATTTTTGGATTCATGTGTTTTCCAGGTGGATATAGTTTATGAACAATGTGAATAAAATATTTAACATGTTCAAATGTCTGTGTGTTGTTCAATTCAGCAACCTGGGAACCTTTGATGGCTCATTTTTCTAGAAGCTGGGAATGGAGATTTTTAAAGAGCCCTCCAAAATCTAAGAAATAAGAATTCTGACTGCTACCTTCAGATATTATAAAAGTTTCTACTACCAAATAGGGCTCACAGGACCAACAATGACTTTTTTGATTTTTTAGATTTATATTATTTAATGTGTATGAGTGTCTTGCCTGCATGTAGATGAACCAAGTGCACACCTGATGATGCCCATAGAGGTCAGAGCGCATCAGCCTCCCCAGAACTAGTTATGGACGGCTGTGAGCCACCTTGTGGGGACTGCGAATGGAACGCAGGTCCTCCGCAAGAACAGCCAGTGCTCTCTTGTTTTAAGTTTATGGTGTTTGAGTTATACCTTGCTTCTTTTAAGGTTGTATGTTATTTCTTGGTGGGAAAGGGTCTTATTTAGAAATTAGACATGGGCTGGAGAGATGGTTTGGTGGTTAAGAGCACTGACTGCTCTTCCAGAGGTCCTGAGTTTAATTCCCAGCAACCACATAGTGGCTCACAACCATCTGTAATGGGATCTGATGCCCTCTTCTGGTGGGTCTGGAGAGAGCAATGGTGCACTCATATACATAAAATAAGTAAATAAATCATTTTAAAAAATTACACACACAAACAACAACAACAACAACTTCCTTAAATAAAATCAAACAAATCTGAACCTTAGCTTTTCAGTCCTTTTTGGCATACATTTCTTGAAACTGAGCTGACGCTGCCCCTTTGGGCAAGCGCTTGGTCTCTTCCTCCCGCCTCTCAGACGTGATGCGGTCAACTTTTGCCCATGTTTGTTCTAGTTGGTTTTGTTTGTTCACATTGGCTTTGACTTTTGGCTTTTCCAACATTTTAAATTTGGAGCCTGTGCTCTGGAGGTAAGTACCATGTTAAAGTACCATGTTTGTTGAAACAAAGCCCCAAATCAACTGAAAAAAGAGATTCTCCAAGGTGTGCATGCCAACTGAGCTTTCAGACTTTGTCCAACTCATGGCAGAACCAAGAAGAAAAGGGGGAGGTGTGTTGAGGTGGACAGAACAGGCCAAAGTGAGTAGTATCACATGGCTAAGAGACACTTCCTCACCAACACAAGACAGCTCATCAGACAACCCAGAGACCAAAATAACCCCTCTGCTGCCTATAAAACTTTCATTTTACAAAACCATCAAAGCAGTCACATTGTCCCCTCTCAGGATGCCCATGATAAACCATCAAAGTTAGAGGCTTTGCACAGTGCAAAGTTGGAGCAGTGTACCATGAGTACAAGGCTGGGGACCAGAAGCCAGATGTCAGGGCACCTCCACAGCCACGCTAAATCCATAGGCTCTAGAAACAGAGCCACTGTAAAGTAGCTTTTATTAATCATCTGATTAATTATAATTAATGCAATTTTCATCTCTGATGATTACTGCTGTATAAGCTCACCTGTTCTAGTTTTTTTTTCTGAACTCTGGCTAGCTGATTCAGCCCAGCTGTTCTGGCCCAAACTCCTCACCGTGCTGACTGATTCAATCTGGCTTCTCTCAGTCTCTCACTGAATGGCTCTGCTTGACCTCAAACTAACTCTAGCCATCTGTTCTAACCTTCTGGCTCCTTCTCATTCTCTGGCTTCAATGCCTCTGCTGACCTGCACTGAACTGCATGAACAATCTCAACCCCACTGCACTGCGTTCACGGCACTGACTCTCAACTCACTGAAATCAACTGCCTGACTTCCAGCTCCTTAACTCTGAACTGCACTGAACTGACTGACTTGAACTCAAAGGTCCACATGCCTCTGTCCCCTAAGTGCTAGGATTAAAGGCATGTACTGCCACACCTGGACCTAAGCTTTTCTTTACCTGGAACATGTCTGTCCCAGGGTGGACTTGAACTCAGAGACCTGCTTACTTTTGTTTCCTGGGATTAAAAGTGTTTCTGTATTCCAGCCAGAGTAGCCATGTTGCTGGGTTAAAATTCCACTACAAGTTCCCATCATTTTTGTAGCTCCTGGTGACTACCTTGGCCAGAGGCTGCAGAGGTCTAGGCCCCAGTCTTCTGCAGAGCCTGCTCCTCTCCCCTCTGCACTCTTCAGTATCACCTGGAGTGCCCGCCTGGATTATCAGGAGATGCCCACTTTGCAATCCTTAACCTAAAGATGTCTGCAAAAACTCTTGGCCAGGGCTGGAGAGATGGCTCAGTAGTTGGGAGTGCTGATTGCTCTTCCAGAGGTCCTGAGCTCAAGTCCCAGCAACCACATGGTGGCTCACAACCATCTGAAATGGGATCTGATGCCCTCTCCTGATGTGTCTAAAGACAGCTACAATGTACTCATATACATAACATAAATAGCTATTTTAAAAAAAAACTCTTTTGCCAAATAAGGACACACTCTCAGTTTCCAGGATGTGCATTTGGGGGTTCCAGGTGTTCTATGTAAAAATGTAGCCCAGGTTAGATTTCACGCAAGGACAAAAAAAGAGATCAGCTAAGGCTATTCTATGTAAACAATGCCAGTGAGAAATAAGAAAAGGTCAAAATATTAGACAGTCCCAAATTTGCTTAATCGATAGACTAAGAGAAAACGTACTTCCACTACTAAGGATCTGCTGTGTGGCTTCCCACAGCAAGCTGTTGCAGTGCTAACGTGTGGGGCCTTCCATTTGTTTAAAACTCCTCTACAAGCATTTTAAAACCCATTCATATGAACCTTTCACGTCTTTCTAAGTTCTTGAGGCTTTTCACATTTTGTCTCTCTTACTCTGTGATCATTTCATAACCTGAGAAGCCAAGAAACAGCCAAACTGGTAACACTTATTTTTAGGCCAGTACAATGGCTCTGTGGGTAAAGGCACTTGCCACAAGCCTGAAAAACTGAGGCCAATCACTGGGTCCCATGTGGCAGAAAGAGGAGGGGACAAACAGTGAGAAGGCTTAATCAGGGGATCGAAGGTCCCAGGGGTGTAGAGTGGGGGGCGGGGTCCTCCACTGGAGTGCAGCAAATACTCCTCATTCCATGCCTTCTGCCTGAGCCAGAGAACTGCCAGTGGACACAAAAGGAAGGCTTGAAAGGCACTCCACAACCCAGATGACATTCTTGACTCTACCACCACTATGGGTCTCAGGAGGGTAGACAGGTGACATAGCTGTACTAGCCAAACTGTCCCCAGCTGACAACCAGCATGGATCAGGCCAACTGCACCCAGGGCTGACACACCACGACTGTTGTTTGAAACCGCTGGACTATACGGTGGTCACCTCAATCCTCCATAACTAGACAGGAAACAAAACCTAATAAGGGAAGTGAACCTCACCAGTGTCTCTATCTTTAAAGTCATACGATGTTTCCACAGGAAAACTGAATAGTATTAGTATTAGTCCAGCCGTTCTCAACCTGTGGGCTGTAACTATTGGAAAACTTCATAACTTCATAACTGTAGTTTTGCTCCTGAGCTGTCTCTCTTCCTAAGATTGTCAAAAATATGAACTGTCCAATGGGTGTGACCCACAGGTTGAGAACCACTGCGTTAGACAAAGCTAACATGCTGGAACACATGGTTGTTAACTACCAGCTTATGTTAGAAAATAAAATATAATAAGGCAGAACTGTAGCTCCTAACCCCCGATGCTGTGTGTATCACCCATACACAAATAACCTCCTTCTCTACTGGCACACAGCAATCATTTCTTAGAGTTTATCATACAGACTTAATATACAGAGAACTATATATAGAAAACTCCTGCTCCAACAGGACTTGGGTGTAAACAGGTAGACCCACTTTCTGTGTCTACAGACAGACCAGTTTCAAGTCTGCTCAGATACAGGGGAAGTGGCAGTAAAGACACAGTTTGTGTCTATCAGCCAGGGACCTCAGTCCTCTGAAGGTACAGGCAGTTGTGAGCAACACAACACAGGCACTGGGTACCAAACGCAGGTCCCCTGTGAAAGCAGTACAAGTTGTTAACTTCAGAGCACTCGCCCCAGTCCCGAGGGGGTTTAAGACTCCAGAAAAGTAAGCTAATGAATAAAGAAAATAAGAACTTTCAAAGTCAGGACACTGACTATTGTCTCAGTGTGCCAGAAGGCCATTCGAAGACAGACACTCGAAGGGTCTTCAGGCCAGTGGCACTTTCACTGTTACAGCAGACAAAGCTCATGTTCTCTACTGGCACATCCCACATTATACAGAGTTGAAAGAAATCAAACACTGCCCTTCCATGTAGATCGTTTTATTGTAAAAATGTAAGCAAGTACAAATCACCCTATGTGAAATCACTGTGTATTAATTAGCATAAACATAATTTCAAGTGGAAAAGAAAAAGAATCTGATCAACTGCACAGCACAGGAATAAACATTAAGTTTCAACAGCGCTAAAGTTACTTTTGGAAGACATGATACAAGTATGGTTTTGCTTATAATGACCTTAGAAAAATTTAAAAAATTACTGAGTGGGCCATCTTCATCATCCCTTCTTGTGTGTGTGTGTGTGTATGCATATGTGTGTATAGTGTGTAAGTATGTGTGTGTATAGTGTGTGTGTAGTGCATGCATGTGTTATGTGTGTGTGTGGTGTGTGGTGTGTGT